GAGTGCCGGTTTTCTGGACTGGACGATCTAATAACGAGACCACCGTTAATATTTATTTATACCTATTTAGACCAATGACTAGACCACGGGTCCACCTTGAGAGTGAATAATTTCCATGGCATTAAAAAACTACCAGAATTGGATAATACAGTACATCCCCAGAAGGCCATATATGATGATAAAGCAAGAAATGTATTTGAATGTTGTTTTTCTTCTGGGGACCTTAGTCATTAGTGACCTTTATTGATTTTATCCATTGTAATTTGTAATATATTGGATCATATCCTAAATCCTTCAATTGCGTTGTTGTCAGTACCTAGCATTAAATATTTGTATGCTGAATTTGAATACTGAAGAAGGAAGACTGCCCCCCCCGCAATAAGACCATGGCCTGGAAGGTAATAGCATAGGTAAATAGCGATTTCTTTAGTAATGTCTTTCGCAAAGGTTTAGTGAGGTGGTAACGTGTGGGAACAGCTTCCCTACTCTGTTTTTTTCTTTCAAAAAATCTAATATATTAATTGCTATCCAATATTCATGTCCCTTCCAAGATTATGGAGAGCATTCCCGTACTGGAAATATACGACTAAAACACTGTTTTTTGCAATAATGATAGCAGCACGTTCAAAATCAATTCAATGTGTCGTTTATAGAGATTTTCAATAAGGTTTCAACAATTATTCCAGAGCATTCTCCATCTTTACAGTTTCATAGCATTAGTCAATTGTTTAAATTTTCTGCAGATACTTGAACTCTTGGAACTTGGTGACAAACTTAACATTCATAACACCTTTTGGCAGCGGTACAGTCGCGTGAGTTCCAGCAGTTGTCACGGGTTGCGTAAACCCACGCACGACCACAACAAAACAATACCCGACTGTTATTATTGCAGAGGCGGTTGTGTTGAGCAACTTGTGTTATGCAGAGCGACTCAGGTTACTTCGACTCCTGGTCTAGAAGTGTTGAAATTATATGAGAACAACTGAGTAAAGTGTGGACAGATCTACATTGCAAGTCGTCAATTTAATATAAAGGAAAGTAAGTTAATTCGAAAATGTAATTATGGGTGGTAGTTTAGCTGCACGGCAGTAGTGCATGGCAGTAGTAGTAGTTTAGCTGTGGGTGGTAGTAGGTAATGATGGGTGGTAGAAAAACGAAGCATATTTTCCCCTCATTTATCATCCACTTTGTTCACTAAAAAGAATATTTGCATCGATTAAAAAAATAAAAATGTTTGTTCAAAAACAATTTAGATGCTTTCGAATATCTAGGAAATGTCTTTAGTTTCTTCGATACAAAGATCATGGGCCTAGCCAGTGCTAGCAAAAACTATATTACATGTCTCTCTATTCAGTGACCAAGTTTATTACATTATTGGTGACGGTGCGAGGCCGAAGCCAGCGAGTGCTGAAGTTCTTGAGAACACTAGGGACGCTGGAGCCCATGGGCGTGACATGTTTTATTTAACAGGTGACGAAACTAAGTCACCTCTGCTGACACATGGAGATACGCGTGCAGTCAACATACTGAGGTATGTCTCATCTACTGGAGTTAATATTGTTATCCTCAGACAGTAATGGAGTTCTTAAATGTCGAGAAAGTTCTCATGAAACATCTTATATATTTTTGATAGGCACAGCTTAAAAAGGGTTTCAAACTTTAGGCCTCGGCATTATCAAATAGCTATAGCTAAAGGCATTGTGGTTATCAGGATTTGAACACGGGTCATCAGTACAGAGGTCCCACGCTCTAAACCACAAGACCCAAGTCCCCACGCCACCGTTAGGTAATCATATTGTACATAAAAAAATAAAAGTTGCAGCTAACCAAATATATATGATACGTAGGCAGATTAAGCAGGTATATATTATAATGAATAGAAAAGTGTCTAGTTTTTATTCAAAGATACTATCAAATATACCTTTACCGTTATTTTAAACATCTCAGAATGCAGCCCATGTTTTTATAAGCCAGAGTAAAATATGAATCCGAATCAGCCCATAAGTGGATCAAAATACACAATTCCCACGCTTTGCTAAGTAACTGTGTGATATAGTTAGTAAAGGTTGTTGTTTTGTTTGAAATACCTTGGAGTTTTTGTTTATTTTATTGTTCTATTTAAGAATCAAACTTATACACACATCATAATAATCTGTATTTGTTCAGATAACCTCACGCAGTTAGCTGCATGAGTTTTATTGGGCTGTAATGGACATAATAAAGTAGGCTAGTGCTACTTATGTGTTGAAAGTTGAACCGAATATAAGCTCATGTTAATACGTTGCATACGTTGACAATGCCGTTATTGAAAATACATTGACATTTGACAAACGTAAGCTAGAAATTGAATAATGAATATGAACAATGATGAATGACCATCATAAAACAGACATCAGTCATACTCAAGCGTTCAAGTCTCCAATGGGATTCAAAGTTTAATACTGAAATATTGGGAAAACCATATCAATATTTAAAAGTATAGAAATTGTAAGCTTCCCAGCAGCATCAAAAAGATTATTTGGAACCGCGCGAAATTCCCGAGCAATTCTGTAGTGCTGCAAATCTTTTGTTATCCGGTAATATCAGCCGTGCAGTCTGAAAGTGAAAACCACTAAAGATCGCTTGTTGGAGGTTTCCTAGGCTAATTCCGTAACCAATTGACGGGCAAATAGATGGAAAACATCGAGGCTTGGAAATGCCTTGAAAGTGAATCGTTAGGTTTCACTAATAATGTTTACAAACTGAATTGTTTGTATTATTTCAGCGGTGAATTGATTGTTTAGCTTTATTTTTGTCGTTCTTGTAATAATATACATCTGAATAGCTTACTAGCTTAGAAAATAATATCATACGGTAACGTGGAAGAAGTGGGTGCTCCTAGCCTATGATCTCTACAGGGACAATAAAACACCCGATTCAGAGCTACGCTACAAAACTATTAAGAAGCAGTACAAACAAAAACTTCTATCAGCTAGACTGGAAAGAAATGCTCGCTTCATAGAATCTGCCAGTAATCGCTGTGCAGCAGCCTGGAAAGTTATCCATGAAGAAGGTGCTCCGTCCAAATCCCAGTTGATATCTTCAGTGACTGCGGAAGCTTTCAACGCCCATTTTATTGACTCCGTCCAGCAGACCAGAGATGCTATCAACGGTTCAGCCACTTCTGCCCTAGATATGCTGGAGAAACGTGACCCTGCAGCCTCACGGTTCAACATTACCCTTTTATCCTGTGAAAGTGTGATACGGGTGGTCCAGAAGCTCAACAACTCTCCAAGCAAAGATATATTTGAGGTATCTGTCAATCTTATTAAGAGTGTGTTTCCTAGCATTGTTAAGCCTTTTACCTATTGCCTGAACCTATGTCTCTCTGCAGGAGTCTTTCCCCAAAGACTAAAGATAGCCAAAGTTATACCTATCCATAAGAAAGGTGATCCAAACAGTCCTGAGAATTTCCGCCCTATTTCCCTACTCCCAGTATTTTCAAAAATATTTGAATCTGTAATTAAGGATCAGTTGTACAAATATTTCGAAGAGCACAATCTGCTCATGACCGGCCAGTGTGGCTTCAGGGCGGGTCTCTCGACCATAGATGCTCTAGATAAGCTTGAAGCAGTAGTACTGCATGGATTTGAGGCTGGAGGCTTTACTGGGGCCACCCTGTGTGATCTCAGTAAGGCCTTCGACACGGTCGACCATCGGATACTGCTGGATAAATTGAATTTTTATGGAGTAAAGGGCTCTGAACTCAGGCTCATGGAGTCATACCTGGCTGGGCGTGAGCAGAGGGTGCTCATAAATGGACATATCTCTAGCCCTTGTCAGATCACTCATGGTGTCCCACAGGGGTCTGTACTTGGCCCCCTTTTGTTCATTATCATGACCAATGACCTCATTCCAAATTTTGGAGGAAATGTCGTCTGCTATGCTGATGACACTACCCTTTTCAGTTTCTCTAAAGACCTGATAACTCTAAATGGTCAAATGTCTGAGTCCATGGGGATAGCATCAGCATGGTTCCGAGCTAACTTTTTTAAGTTAAATGAAAGTAAATCCCAAACCATTGTTTTCACTTTAAATCAGATGGATCATGAAGTTTCAAATGTTAAATTACTAGGCCTATATTTGGATCCAAAGTTAGACTGGCACTGTCATATTTCTCATGTCTGTAGTCGTTTGTCTAGGGTAATTTTTCTCCTGAGAAGACTTAGAGACTCTGTACCCAAGGAATGGTTAAAAACAGCCTATGTAGCATTTTTTCAGAGTGTACTTCTGTATGGTTTGCGTCTGTGGGGCTCCGCATCTGGGGTCGAGAGGGTCTTGCTTCTGCAAAAGAAAGCAATAAGGATTGTGAATGGTGCAGATTATCTGGACCATTGTAAACCAATCTTTGTTGCCGAGTCCTTGATGACAGTTTACAATCTCTTCATTTTGCAGTGTCTCATGTCATGTAAGAGGAAGCTTGGCACTCTCGAGCTCAGAGGAGGGGTCCACCACTACAACACTAGGAATAAGCAGGATCTAAACATACCTTATGTTAGACTAAAGAAAACCCAGGCTAGTAAGGAAATCTTAAGCTTGAAATTAATGAACAAATTGCCTTGTACAGTTCGGAACCTGCCAATCACTAAATTCCAAAAGAGGGTGAGGGAGTTCCTATTGGCTAACCCACTTTACTCAATCCATGAGTTTTTTGAACTTCCTGACAACTTGTAAGTATGTTTTTTTTTGAGTTTTGCAAGTGTGGTTTTATTTTATTTTCTATGCATGGAGTGTTGCAGGAACAAACAAATCATGTAATTTTTGCAATTTTTTAGTACTCTAACCTAGTATTAGTTTATTTGACTTTTTCCATACATGTATCATGTTCACGGAAATAAAGCATTTCATTTCATTTCATTTCATTTCATTTCATAGTCTTGTATGGAAAAACAATAAAGATTTCTTAAAAAATATTGATAAACCTAAAGATTACTTTTAATCTTACTAAACTATTAACTCACCCCGCAGAGTTTGCATGGGCTAGAGCGCTGAGCAGAATCAGGGCTTGCAGCCCTTCACGGCTCATCTGCAACAAAAATACATAAATAATAATAATAATTAAAAACACAATGTGTAACTGTGTACATGCTTAGTAAGTTGGTACAGTTGATTAAGATAATAGCCCCTACTCCTACTCCTATAATTGACTATGCTTCTGTCGTTAACATTTGTATTTTTTACTTTTACTTGACATTTTTGTGACCACCCGTTCAAAAAATAATATTTTTTGGAATTTGTTCTTGTTAAAGAATCTAATAAAATAATGTTTGCTCCTATACGCTGTTTTTATAGCATTCAAATAACTTGTACCGGAGTTACGTTTTTCTATTTGTAGATCCATATTATTACCACTAATTATTTTCGGCTTGAAATATATCACTATTACTTGTATGAGTAATTCATTAAAATATGTTTAATTGTCATTGTAAGATAATTTACCAACTCTTTGACTCTTTCGATGTAACTTCGGTTTTTCATTTGGAGAAGCGTCACAAAACTAGTTGACTAATTTATAAAACCACCATAGACAATTTGCTGACAATTGCAATGTAGTAACAAGAAACCGCGTGCACTCCGTTTATAGAGCTATTTTGTGCTTTTTACAGCAAGAACTGTTCGCAGCGGTAGGCCGGAACAATGAAGACCGTTAACCTCGAGATTTTGATGGACACCGGCTCCGGCTGAAGATGAGAGAGGGGAAGTAACGGGTACTTTCTCCGCCGCGGTCAGGTACCGTGGTTCCGCCAGACGACATCCATAACACGACAGTGGGGTCTACAGGGGTTACTGTACTACGGCTCTAACAGAGTACACTTCGACTATAATTACTTTACCAGTTAAAGAATTTCATAGGAAGTAAGGAGTAACCTGTAAGTAAGGGGTGTATCTCCTTCGTCAAAGCAAGGAATGTGTCTCCCGTATCAAAGTTCTTATAGGTGGAGTCTTCAAGGTAAGGGACTTCAAAAATCCTCTAGTTACATCTTAAATCCTCCGAATTATTTTCGCTTGTGGGTTTCCTTTGAATCGATTGCCGCTTTATAGTAACCGAACCGGTATGGGGACACATTATACATCCACATACACACTATTGAATCGAATGTCCAAAGCTATCTAATATTTTATAATATCTAATATTATTCTAATATTCAACTTGGTTGCTTCTGAGATATCGTCTAGAGTTAGCGAGGAATAACTTCAAGTTACGTGTATTTTATATCACTTAGATTTTCCAGGAAGCCCATACTATGATGCTATTACAGTACTTTTTGCGCATTTCCCACTTCCCATGGCCTCCAAACTTATCCTGCGATCTGGTTTTGTATCACGCAACTTCAAAAAGTGGACAAACCTTGTATACAATGCATACTAATCACACATAATTAGTCTTAAGGCGAATTTAACAACAACAACGCTGCTCGGTCTTTTTACAGTAAAAATAATACTCAGCTTAAAAGTTCGACGCAATACAAATATTCATTATCTTTCAGATTATGATTTATATTTTAATTTATATAACGGAAAACTTTGGTATACAGAATAAATGATCAACATTTCCAGGATAGTAAGTGTTTAAGAAGCATGATTAGAAAAAATATAATTTTAATTATTATGATAAAAATTTTCATTTATAGTTTAAAACATAACTGTGTAGCGCAGCAATTACAATTTATTGATTTGAAAATTAATACAATACAAAACAAATATATATTAAAATACAAATAAAAAAATGCAAATAGGTACTGTACAATAAAAATTAGCTACACACCATTTGCACAACACCCATGTGATTGCACAACTAAATTAATATTAGATTTATGTATATAGTTTCTGATCCGCCAGTTTAATTCCACCGTTAAAGTCACTTCCACGTTACACGGAGGTTGTTGTAAGCTTTAATCAATAGTTGTACTGAACATTGGTATAGTTGTACTGAGCATTGGTATAGTTGTACTAAACAGTGGTATAGTTGTACTGAAAATTGGTATAATTGTACTGAACAGGAGTATAGTTGTCCTGAGCATTGGTATAGTTGTACTGGACATTGGTATAGCTGTACTGAGCATTGGTATAGTTGTACTGAACATTGGTATAGTTGTACTGAACATTGGTATAGTTGTACTGAACATTGGGTATAGTTGTACTGAACATTGGGTATAGTTGTACTGCACATTGGTATAGTTGTACTGAACATTGGGTATAGTTGTACTGAACATTGGTATAGTTGTACTGAACATTGGCATAGTTGTACTGAACATTGGTATAGTTGTACTGGACATTGGTATAGTAGTACTGGACATTGGTATAGTTGTACTGGACATGGTATAGTTGTACTGGACATTGGTATAGTTGTACTGAACATTGGTATAGCCTTTAGTAACAAGAATGAATGCAGCTGTTTTATAATCCCGTTGAAGAGAAAGGATAGACTAAAGTACTGTAAGTTATCAATAGTTGATCATGACGTGGTGGTGAATTTAAAAAATGCGTCTTACAAAGCTGGGAATTTAAGTGAAGTGTTCGCCTACTGCTAGAGTCGAAGTCAAGTCCTTTTCACAACTAACTAGGATTGAGAACACCCTTCCGTGTAATAGTTTATGCAATATTGCCTTGATACTCTAAACACCTATTTTTAAAAGTGTATTTGCAGCAAATTGTGGGCATACAAAAACGAATCTTTACAATGCAATAGCATAGTTTTTGAACTGAAGAAAGGTATACATTTAGAAACATTGTGTAGTGTTCTGCTTACATCTGTTGGCACTGGTAAACAGCATTTTATGTAAATAATGTATCAATATGATCATTTAATTAAACTTTACAGTGTTCGAAAGTAAAATTCCGATTTTGGCATTTTAACGTTTTACTCATGTAGTGGGTGAAATACAAATCTGCAATCTGAATAGTACTAGTAGTCGAGTACTCGGAAAGTGATGCTGTCATTGTGTGTTTAGTAGGCAGTGTTGTGTTGTTTGTTTTTCACAATTTTCTTTCATTGTTTACCTTTCTTAATTTTAAAACTCAAAACATATTTTATCAGTTTTCAGTTGTTATAAGTTAAAGTTAAAGTTAAGTTAAAGTTCAATTTGTTCAGTTTAAGTTTTGTTATAAGTTTTTTTGTGTTTCCGTTGTCCAGTTTGTGTACTAATCTTTTCATCTGCTAGATTTATTCCAATTTGAAGACGTTATCAGATTACATAAAAATCTCGAAAAGTTGCAAACCACATGTTTTATAATCAACATAAGCCCACTATTATCAACAATGTACGTCAAACAAAGAACATTTAAGAACGTAACACGTATTGCTGTTAAACAGGCAAATATATTGAGCTAATCCGTTAGTGGAAACTTCAAAGAGCCTCTGTTTAACATTCAGTGGCAACAAAAAAAATTTAGCCTAAATTAGCTTAGTTATCGTTACTCAAGAACACATCGTTCAGGTGTCGTGGTCGTACTCACTGGTCGTGGCCTGCTACGCTGCTGCACTCTCGCCAACGAAATTGCTGTAGTTTACAAGTGCAGTGCAATATTATTATATACTACATTGCTCTGTAGTTCAAACTAGCGAGGAGTAATACTAACGTCTATCTTCTATCTAATAAAACCTAGTGAGACCACTGTGTCTCAATAAGTATTCTTTGCTTCTATTAAGTAAACTTACGTTCATGCTATAGCACCACTGGAAAACTTCGAGACTTTCATATGAAAAACAAATTGATTACTTGATCTTGAAACGGCAGAGATTACCTTATTTTAAGACAAAGATGAGTTGAATAAATGAGATGCTAGCTTTGTTACTACTGGACTATAAGATCAACCAACTGCTTCTATAGCCAGGAGCTATTAAAAAAAATATCCAAGCTTTCTATCGGGGTTATTTTTAACTCAGCTTTTTTTATCAAGAAAAGCTGTGTCTGATTTTTAAAAATCAAAAAGCTTCTAGCCTTTATCAGGATTGACCCATATCCAGCAACCTTTTACAGTCTTTCAATCACTTCAAGTACACGTCCAATAAGTTTCTCAAAATTCAAGAGCATTTGAAGAGGTTTGAATTTGATTTTATTCAAGAGCATTTGAAGTGGTTTGAATTGGACATGAAGACTAAACAAATGCAAGCCAGAAAGAAATTTACAAGTGAAACAGCAGATGTTGAGCGTACTTCGGTGTATTTAGTGAGTGTAAAGAGGGGGGGGGGGGGGGTTAGCGGTACCCGGGACAAGCCAGACACGGTTGTAAATCCAGGACTAATAAACATTGTAAAAGTGACGGCGACTAGTTCCTCACTAATTTGATACCGTACATTTGACTATGTGTACTCTCCGTGAAAGAGAAGTTCTATTCTCTCCGTGAAAAAGAAGTTCTATTCTCTCCGTGAAAGAGAAGTTCTATTCCCTCCGTGAAAGAGAAGTTCTATTACAATATTGAAGTTGTAACCAGTTTTGGAACTAAACTTAAACTTAGTTCAATTGAACCACCGATGAAAGCCACCATTAAACAGCATCCTTTCTTAAAGTCGTCTTTTAATCGTATCAAACAAGGCAACCTGTTAAAATGTATAGCTTCTTTTATACTCGTACCACTAGAAACCATACCTAACCTTTCATGTAGCACAGTTTATCAGAGGCTCTTTCAACGATGTTCTAGTCTAGCAAAAATTGTCTTTCTTTTACGCAGGACAAAGTAGGAATCTACCTACTTCAGCCAAAGGCAATGGTAAATCTTATGAGATAAGACTGATAAGAGTAACATTTGAATTGTTTCCTACACCTGGTGTAACTTTGACAAACCCTGAAACGGAATTTAATTTTAAAAATTACTGTAACATGGCAAGACTTTAAAAGTGAAGAATAGACGTGGTCCATAATTTAACGTGTGAGAGTAGTGCCTATCTACCTTCTTTTCCTTACCACAAAAAATAAGTACAACATAGACTAACCAACACAAGTAGACTTCTCATCCCATTGTAAATGTTGAAGCTCGTTTTCATGTCTAGTTCCTGTTGGTGACACTGATCGCTAGTGTCAACGA